ATTTTTCCATCTATGTATAAACTTCCTCCGTATTGGTTTAAGTGCATTAACACGTTAGGTTAGCGAAAACCAAATTGATATACACAATATTATGCACCGTCACGTGAATGAATGATGATTAAATCCGGTTTGGTAAGTTTTTGATTTTGTTTTTAAAAAAAAAACATCAAAAAATTACCTAGTTGTACTCATTATATACCTATCTATGGAACGCTATGCCGACCACGATTTACTCTCGTAAAAATAACTTAACGAGAATAGCATATACCGATACATAATAATAATAATAATATTTCGATGTCGATGTTTCGTGTGCTCGAACGTCACGAATGCAATGATAATTATTGATTACAATAAGTCTATTTTAAGTCTTTACGAATGTTCTCCTTGATATACTAGAGTCACACAACACAACACTTTAGTGTCGAATAGGTGACCGTCCATATTATACATGCAAATATTAAGGCGCACGTAAACACACGGTTTGATAAAAAAATAATTTACATAAAAACTGTAAAATAACAACACATTTGCACTCAAATCAGGCATTTTTAACTTCACTCGGAAGGAATCTAAAATCGATCAGTTCCATTAAGTGACAGCCTACAGTAAATGGTATTGTACGTTTTACATTTTAATCATAAAACAAAGAGTAAAAAAACCGTGAAGTCGCTCTGCTGTATCGTAGGTTTCGAGTGTACCTACCTCATCATTGAGTAAACCCGCAGGTGTGTAGCCAGGAATTTTAAAGGGAAAGTGTTATGTCCACAAGTCCACCGAACCTAAATGTTCAAATATAGGTTCGAATATATGTGTTAAATAATGACTACATACTACATAGGACAGCTGGCTTATATTGTGATATAAATATTATATTTTTCACCATTTTATTATGTATCTGTAACAAATAAACATGTTCAAGTAGAATGGGTGGTGTAACTCACCTACATCACCCCTTTGTTTAATACTGCCTACTATTTGCTTTCAATTATACCACGGTAAAACAAATTAATTTTTTAAAAAATATCATATACCTAACCCTATGTAGGTACAAGCTGATTTTTTAAGCATGCTTGCTCACTCTATTTTGTATGCTCAAATCATTCATACATCAATATATGATTCTGATTTTTGGAATTTTTAAATACGTACTTGAAAACCATTTTTTCGAATACTTGAGATTTTTGTCTCGCTTAAAGATAATAAGAACCCGCCTTTTCACTTATAATTATTCTGTAGATATTTTTTTGATAATTTGAATGTATCTAGATCAAAATTTGAACAAGTAGCTTAGAAGTTACAAAACTTTATGTACCTAATAAGGAAGCTATGATATGGAAATGGGTCAAGTAGGTATGGGCTTAGATGTTTTTACAATCATTTGATCTATCGATATAAATAATTTGTAAAAATGGCCCGAGATTAGTATATTATTAAATTTAATATAACAATACTAGCTGTCCCGTCACGGCGTTGCTCGTGTATTATATAGCAATACAAAAAACCCCCATTTTACCCCCTTAGAGGTCGAATTTTGAAAAATCCTTTCTTAGTGCGCCCTTACATTGCTTAAGGTACTTCTCAACAAAATTTCAAGTCTCTAGACCCAGCGGTTTGGTCTGGGCGTTGATTTTCCGTAAAAAAGGGAGGGTTTTCATTTAAAAAAAAAAGAAGTGTGTATCGCCAAAGGACACCTCTTATGAGTGGTACAAAAAATATCAATTAGCTCTGAACTCTTCGTGCTATATTTAATATACTTAACTTGTATGCAGCAATGCAGCTAGTGACCAACATTTTGTTACTTTAACGTATTGAATATTACACACTAAATACTACCACATGGCATGCCCAATAATTGTGAACCATATGGGTTACTGTTTACCACATAATTTAAGGGGCTATTGCACTACCTTCATGTCAGTGTAATCCATATGTGGTTAGAATTTTCTCGTTCTTCGCCAAATGAAATAATATTTTTTAGGTAGAACGATTTGACTAGTCATTCAGACAAACCACATAACCCATGGTGGAATATTTTCAACAATTTGGTATACTGTGGTAAAGTGTACACCATGTGGTTAATACCTGGGAATACTTCTTTCCTAGTAACCTCTTTCTCCACTCACGAGTTCCATATTATACGTCTGTGACTGTATATATTATGTGAACAGTGGTCACCTCAGTCAATTTATACTGTGGTAAGTTTATACTTGGACGCTTGGTCACTGCAGGTCAACATGTTAAAGTTTATACCACGGTCGAAATTTGAAGTGATCGAATATATCATAATATTGTAAAGGAGATTGTACTCTTAGAGATAGTTAATGTAACCACGACATTTTCCATCAGTCAACGGTATAGGAAATTGGTTTTCGATCAAACTATTTTCGCGTTACAGCCAAAGTGAGTATGGTATAGGACAAAATCCAGTCAGTTTGGTGTTCGGTAAGTATAGTAATTTACTAATGGACAGGCATAATGCATAAATAATATAATAAATATTTAGGACCTATGTCCTATGAGATCAAATACGAGTTGCGGAGTTTATTACTAGAAAATAAGGAGTAAAATTATTTTTAGTTCCAAGTTTACCGTGAACAATAATAAAACAACAAAAAATAACTAAAATTATCTAAAATCTCTAGGTTTTTGTCTGGACCGCCTATCTTTAACTAGGCTATGATGTATATATCAACAGAGATAATATGCATAAAAGCAAAAATAATATTAAAAACTGGAAATAAGCTTCTTTTTCTTGAAAACCCCTTGAAAAAATCACTTTCAAATTTCACAATTGAATGGGTTGTAAACTCGTAACATGACATACACTTCCGTAGCACTCTGCTAGATTTTATGTCAAACCATAAAAATAAGCAAATGCTATAAGCCCAGAGTCCTATTTAAAATGTATTAGTGTGTACAAGCAACTAATAAGTACGTTGTAATTGTGTGATTTTATTATTAGTAAAAAAACAAAAATGTCTCAATTTGGCTACTCGCGACAGGCTGACAGCTGCATTTATGCATTTATCATAATATAAATTATGCATCGTGCAATAATACAGTCAATCCAACAATGTGCTAACCAATTCCCAGGTGCGTGTGCGTGATATCGAATATTGTAATTTCATGTTTAATTCATTCACGTATTTACACTTTAGCGTGACAACCGAGCGCACATTGATAATAATAACAATATAATATCGGACGAAAATACAAAATGTTTGGATAATACGTTATCTTAATATTAATATTCAACATTTTATTAAAATATACGATAAGCATAATATAAAATGTGTACCTATATACAAATAAAACATGTTTGATTTATGCAACTCATTACAAAATATAGTGTATTATTCAAATCGCATATTTCAATACGATTTTGGTTCATTATTTACGATACAGTATTTAAAACAATTTTTATTCACCTATTTTAATTTTTTTTAGTCTCCATACATAGTACATACTCGCTTTGCCAAATCGAACAACATCCGTCGCATAATATTACTAAATATTCGGCCTATTCGGGTAGAACCTTTATTACGTTTAACAACACATTTCAGCTGTTTGCAGGATGTTTATAAAACCTGTTTGGAGGGTGCGTCCTCCTGTATAAAGGACACAGATTGTGTACCATTTTTTTTAAATTTAAGGATAACTTCACCTTTACGATACGTGTGTGTTATTGTACCCGGAAACCTCGTCATATATTATTATGATTTTAGAAAACATATCGATTTATGGTTTTATGTTTGATTTCGTTGCTAATGGTTACGCCTTACGTTTACACAATAATTTAGTACATAAATCTATCTACCTAGATAGGTATTATATATTATATTTAATGTTAGACATAAAAAACATACAATTATCAAATACATTGTAATAATATACAACATGTCTACATAAAACCTTTTTGACTATAAATAGTATAAATCTATGATTTATCCGTAATACAGACTTTGATATTTATCAAATTATTAAAATTACTCCAATATTATGTATGGTTGTATACAAGTTATAATATAGACTGTAAATACATTTATTTATACGTTTATATATATTATTATAACATCAAATTAATATAATTAAATACCCCTTCCAACCTGAAAAGATTACGAAAAAATAATTACTCGATCGTCGTTCGTACAGACGATGTTTACATACTATCCTGATAGCAAAAAAAGTACACTTTAAACACTATACCTAATACAATTACCTATACAATTATTACCTACTATACATTTTAATAAGCGCGATATTATCGAAATTGTTATTTCTCACGAACACGTTCGTCCTATAGCGAAGTGGTGGAGGTACATGTAATTTTTAAATCATATACTAAATACTTCCTTATAAAAAGTATTCTGAAAACTAATAAATAAATGGCAGCGACTTACGGTCTGACTTTACGTCCTTTTCTTCTGTGCCAACTATCCACGATGGCTTTGCTGATCACGGCCTTTTTTCCCACCAAAGTCCGCCCAAATTTAATGGCTTTCTGCCTGGCGGATTGCGCCGTTCTCTTACGCTCGTCCTCCGGTAATCGCAACACTTCGGCCATTTTTATATGAATTATTCTATTCGATAATAATATTAAGTATTTTACGTATACATAATGTGCTGCGCAAATCAGACGATCGGAATGACGACGTCGTAACTAACGATAATTATTTAACAAAATAATATATAAACGCGTATATATAATATAAAGTGTATACTAATCGTTACAATATGGTCTTAACAAACGAAACGATTGAAATCACGATAGCGCCTATTATAATATATGTAATACTAAATTTTTTTAATTATTTAATTCGCGTCATTTAGAGATATTCTACCTGCAGCAGTCGGCAGATACGCGTTCGACGACGGACGGTGTACGACACGCGAAGAGCAATCGAAACCCAAACGCTCCACGCCAGCACACACGGCCCCTGCCGTATATATACCTATAACCAGTCACCAACCACTGCGGCGAGCGGACAAACAAGTGCACTGTCGAGGCGTAGATCCTGGCTGGAGTGCGTTCACGTCGGGGGACCAGACCGTCCATTACAATAGAGCGTGCTCCGGCTACGTGCGGTTAGATATTAAAACTGTATGATATTATTATTGTGTCCGTGGATCAGACATCCAGTGTTTAGATTTTCTACGAAATAAAAAAATCACAGCTCGCCGTAAGAGAGTAGGAGAAAAAAATTGCATTAAATCTTGCTATACTGTGGTAAGAAAGAAATTCGTTAATTATTTAATTAATAACAACACTGTTACTATATAAGTATTGTGTGCGTGTGCCAATCAAACGCTCCAATATACCCGTTAGATACATAATATTATACAACATATAGGTAGTAAATAATAATAAAGGATACACCTGCAGCACTACTTTGCAGAGCTATTTCAACAACAATATTACCTTTAAATGTTCACGTTTTCTACGAATTTATGCAATATACATATAAGAGGTGCACGGACGTACGACGCAATAACGTATACTATGACACATTTTGTCATTTTCTGAAAAGCTACCATACATGAAAAAAGCCAAACCAAATCTATTAAAACTTAAGCCATATCGATCAACATTGCAGTTTATCGATTCCACATAGATACCCAAGTGCAATAATAATAATTTCATTATTGTGGTAATATATCATAATATTTCATTTAAAGATTTGTCTTTTTTATATTACATAAAACGTCATACTTATACAGAATAATAGGGAGTATTCAATTTTACAAAATGTTAAATTATTAATTGTTGAGTACCTATATTTAACAAGCAGAACCAATCAACGCAATATGCTGATCAAATAAAAAATGTTCTTGGCAGATATTTAATTACTCCTAATGCTACAAGGTACATAATGTAAATTTATATCCTTGTGTATATTTATGTATTATTTAACTATTTTGAATAAAAAAAACTCATATTACATCTAAATTACATTCTAGGTGGAATTCATTTTATGACGCTATTAAATGCATTGTCAGTAATTTGAATAAAATAGATGAAGTATTTTCTATAACGTCATTGCCACCATTTTCTAGACCACGTGAAACTTTATTTCTAATTGAGTATTGCAAGGTATTTATATAATATATTTATAACTATCAACTCATATTTTTTTGTTTCCCATAATTGCAATACAGTTTAATATATCTAGTATTAAAGTACTTAAAGACTAAAGTTATACTATTTATTAAAATGTTTAGGTTATGCAGCCAATCGCAAAAAGCTTAGACATATTACAAGGGGACAAACATGTGTGTCTTGGATATTTACTTCCTACATTAACTGCGATTAATAAATCATTAAAAAGTTTGTCAAGTTTAAACTACTGTACGCCATTGGTAAATGCTTTGCAAAAAGGAATAGAAAAAAGGTATTTGATTTTAATTATAATAAAATTACTTAAACTATTTTAAACAATTATTGTATTGTATTTGGTATTTATAGGTTTCAAAGATACATGAGTTCTAGCACATGTCAGATATCATCTGCTTTAATTCCTAAATTTAAGTTGAACTGGGCCAGCTCAGAAGAAAAAATAAGTATTAAAGAAAAGTTGGTTGAAACTTTAAAAACTTGTGCTGAGGATGCAGGCAGTACATATACTTCTTCACAACCTTTGGTTCAAAATGATTTGTCACATCAAAATGTGACAGAGGATGATGATTTTTTGCTTTTTGAAGATGAGTTGCAAGAATCCCAAAATAATTATGATTTACAAAAAATAGTTTCTGATTATTTATTGAACCATAACATAAAATCTCCAGAAGATTTGCCAATAACATTGAAAGAAGCCTATATTGAGTACAATACTGCAGTACCATCGTCAGCTCATGTTGAACGTTTGTTTAGTGCAGGAGGACAGGTTTTTAGCAGAAGAAGGGGTTCCATGTCTGATACCAATTTTGAAATGGCTTTATTGTTAAAGTTTAACAAATATTTTATTCAAGAATAAATAAAATATAAATTATAAATATTATAATAATTTATATGTATACAATATCAGAATATCTTATGAGCAAAAAGTAATAAAAATAATCATATAAAATAAAATATTTTTTTTTGTATGTAAGCTCAGTTTGAGTGTCTAGTTATTAGTTAACAGTGATAACCCATAAAAATCTATTCTGGAGTGATTTGAGAGTAATTCGCTTGTGTGCTAGTAGCCAGCAGGTAACAGTGAACAGTATTTAATATTTACAACTAACTATTATTTTCTTAAATAAATCAAAAAGTATAATAACAGCATATATAATGAGTTAGGTAGTTGTTAGTTGTTTATTTAACCATATTTCATGAATGTTAATGTATGAATACATATTATGAGCTTAATTAATGTCCATGTTATTTTATTTTTGATACTGCTGTTATCATAAGATGCTGTCTACGAAAACTATGGTAAAATAAAATAATAGCTTATCTTTAATTAAATACATCATTCTTACTAATAAGTAATAATAATTAAAATTAATTTTATAAATGTTTGTATTTAGACAAGTAGTTGTTTTATTAACTGTTAATTTAATAATATTTAATACTATACAATATGCATTTATAATTAATTTGATTATTATTTATTAATACTTAGTTGGTAATAACAAAGTAAAATTTAAACGTTTTACCATCACTTTGGAAAACTTTTAGGTAAAAAATAAAATAGGTATATACAAATAATTTGTTGGATTTCATAATTTATAAGTACCTACAGCAAAATACATTTTTTTAAGATATAAAGACCTACATTATAATATTATTATGTTATTTGTAAATATTTAACTTGAGGTGTAAATGGTGTAATTATAAGTTTTATAAGAAAAAAAAAAGTAATTTATTTTTAACTAAGTTAAGTTACTTTTTTTTTCCAACTAACTTGTAACTTTAACGAGTTAAATAAAAAAGGAAAGTAACTTTTAACTTTAAACTTAACTTACATTTTTCCAAATTAACTTAACTTAACGAGTTAAAAAAAATAGTTAACTTGCCCAGCCTTGGAGGACACAAGTCCTGAAGACTGAGGGACAACGAAAGTAAAGTGGATTTGACTGGAAAAATAGTTTTTGTGTAAAACAATTAGTGTACGATCTGAAATTAATTAGTAAAACAACGACATAAATGGTTCGACAAATACATGAATTAAAAGTATATTGATTAATAATTTCTGACTAAGCCTATACCATTTTTAAAGCGTTTTTTCATACCTGAATAAATACTATTTGGTTGTAATTTAATATTAACTATCAAACTATTTTAAAATTAAGAGTTTATCCAAATCACGATGACCTGAAAAAGATTTTACTTGTATGATATAATATTTATTTTTATTTTCATGGTAATTTAAACATATAATATCTACATAAGTTTATTAGATAGGTCATAGGTACTGTTGATCGGTTTTGTCGCATGTTACCTATATATAGTTATTTGATAATAAGAGGTTGCCATAGATATAGTCTATATTGCATAAAAGGTGCTATTAATAATAATGTTGTTTTTCCAAAATAATTTTGGAATAATATTAGTCAACTCGTAACAGCTGCAAGTTTTCGTAGCATTACTTAAATTGTTTTTCCCCGTTAATCTATAAACCCTGTCACCCTGAGACTATATAGACTATGTTATATACTATATAGTACATATTTTGTACCTGCACGTTCAAACACACACACATACAACAAAAATCTATATTAAATATTTAAATATGCCACATAAATGGAGACTCAAAGATCATGAATAATTATAGACCAATATCAATGTTAAGCAATTTCGCAAAAATATTAGAGAAAATTATAAAATATAGATTAGTAGAGTTTTTGGAAAATAATAACTTACTGTCGAAAAACCAGTTTGGTTTTAGACCCAGGTTGGGTACAGAAAATGCACTGTACAGTGCTAGCAAATTCATATATAATGCGCTTGACAATAACAATAAAGCAATGGCAATATTTTTAGATCTAGCTAAA